AAAAAACCTTGAGGAACCCCCAAAAAACCACCGATGGAGGTGGGGCTTGATCTCCACTTACCCCAACTCCCGGAAGGGCACCTCGAACTCCAGCTCCTCCTTGGTGAGAGCTTCCACCTTCTCGATGAAGTTCTTGAAGGCCGTCTTCAGCTTGTGGCGCATCTCCCGTTCCATCTTTGGGAAGGGGGGGGTGGGGGGAAGGGGATAAAACGGGGGGTCACCCCCCAAATCGTGGTGGCACCCCCAAAACCAAAAACTCCAAAAAAACCTTCTCAAGGACTTTGGTCCTTCAAGCCACCTGCTCGGCGTAGAGGTCATCGCGGTCGTGCATGTGTTGGTGTTTGCCCAGGTCGGTGGTGATCTCGCCGACCTCCGTGTAGAACTGGACGTCCGTGTGACGTTTCTTCCCAAACATGATGGCGTTCTGGGGACACCCCAAGATGTCACCCCCATCTTTCCTCCACCACCCCCCCCAAAAAAAAAAAAAAAAGCCACCCGTTGTCCCCAGAAGAAGACCTTGAGGTGGAAATGGAGGACGATGATCATCTCCCCGTCGCAAGGTTGGAAGACGGCGTGTTTGATGTTGTTGTAGAGGATGTCCACCTTGTCTCCGCGTACCGAGGTGAAGCGGAAACCTGGGGTGGGGACAATTGGAGGGTGACATCTCCATCTCACCCCACCCAAGATCTCCAGAAGGTCCAACCTCAAGTCCGTACCGTTGACGTGAGCTTCTAAAGAACCTTGCATCCTCTTCTGGGCGATGTTGGGACGGATGTAGAGGTCCTTCAACTTGGGATTGCTCCGGTTGAGGTTGATGACCAACGAGTCTTGTTTGACGATACCCTGGAGAAGATCACGGAGAAGTTTTGGGGAGTCCCTCAGGAGAACCCCAAAAAGACCTTCGGGATGGTCCTCACCTCCTTCTCCTTCTCCTCGGCTTCTCGGGTCTTGTAGCGTTTCTGGACCTCCTTGATGATGCGAAAAGCGTTTTGAAGGTTGAGGGCCGGCACCGTCTGCTCGCCCGGGGTCTTCATGTTGGAGGCGCGATAGGTGCTACGAGAAGAAGTCGGGGGGACCTCGAGGACCTCCCCCCAAAAACCCCCCCAAAAAAAAACCCCAAAGGTCCCCATCGTGGTGGCTCACATCTCCTTGACGAAGGTGGCCTCGGGGTTGGGGAAGATGTTGCCCTCGTTGCGTCCCAAGGCGCTGCCCGGGCAGTAGAAGTTGATGCGGAGGTAGGTGTAGTCCCCTTCCACCGACATGCTGATGTTCTACAAGAGAAGAAGTCGGGGGG